GGAACATAGCCACCTGTCAAAAGATTGAAGATCCAGATATAAGGGATCTGATTGTTCATATGATCCGCGTCGACCCCGAATCCAGGTACTCAGCGGAGGAATGCCTCAATATCTGGCGCCACAAGGCATTTCCCGAATATTTTTACAGTTTTCTTCACCAATACATGGGACTCATTACTGACCCTTCGTCTGGTCGTGCCCGGCTTGAGCTTAGTCCCGGTGATCTGCGAGAAGCTGATGAACGAATTAACAAAACCTTTTTGGATTTTGACAAGATATCTTATTTTCTTGGCGTTGATGTCAAACCTACTATTGATGGATCAAATCTTACTCTTCCAACACTTAACTATCCTATTTTCCCCCATCAACTTGATTTGCCAAACCATGGCAATCAACCTCTAACGCCTCAGTCAGATTCGAACGATGGAACACTGATATTTCTCACACTTGTTGTTTCAAGTCTCCGAAATACTGCCAAGGCCTCCGCTAGAGTGAAAGCCTGTGATATCCTGTTAGCTTTCGCTGAACGGGTTCCTGACGAAGCGAAGCTCGACAGGATTTTGCCTTTTGTGATGTTTTTACTTACGGATCGCTCAGATTTGGTCAAAGTGGCTGCTATTCGGACGCTGACCCAACTTCTAGCGATGGTCCGGGTAGTTTCTCCAGTTAATGCTTACATCTTCCCGGAGTATATCTTTCCCCGCTTACAGCCCTTTATACCTGGTCCCAATTCAAATCCTAGCCCGATTGTTAGGGCGGCATATGCATCCTGCATCGCTTCACTTGCACAAACTTCCCTTCGGGTGCTAGATATGATTCAGGCTTTGCGCTCAGATATACGCCTTGGGTCGCTTGTTCCTGAAAGCACAGAAAAAGGTTGGACCGAAGATGTATCTTATCATAATCTCTATGATGTTGCTCGAATTGATCTCTTAGAATTCTTCGAAACTCATACGAAAGCTCTACTTACAGACAATGATGTTTCTGTTCGTCGTGCCTTCCTCGGATCAGTCTCCAGTCTTTGTGTTTTCTTCGGCAATCCGAAGGCAAATGAGGTGATTCTCAGTCACCTGAATACGTATTTAAATGATAAAGATTGGATACTCAAGTGTGCTTTTTTTGAGGCAGTGGTTGGAGTCGCAACTTATGTAGGAAGCACAAGTTTGGAAGAGTTTATCTTACCTCTCATGGTCCAATCTATGACTGATCCAGAAGAGTTCGTCGTGGAGAGAGTTCTTCGCTCTCTTGCTCGTATGGCCAAACTGGGGCTATTTCAGCGATCAACGACGTGGGACCTCCTACATATTGCAGTACGATTTTTTATCCACCCTAGCATATGGATACGCGAAGCGGCTGTCCATTTTGTTGTCACTTCAACAACATTCCTTTCTCCGGCCGATACGTACTCCATTATAACACCTCTTGTTCGTCCCTTTCTCAAAAATAACACAACAAACATCTCTGAAGCTCAGCTGTTGGACGCACTGAAAAAGCCACTCTCCAAGAGCGTATACGATATGTTATTGATATGGGTAACTAAATCAGAGAAAGGTGTCTTTTGGAAGGCCGGTACTCGAGACGGGACGTTTGATCTAGGTAGCCCACGTACGTCAAGTGCTGGAAAGATAGGGCAGCGTGGCAGCATTGGGCTCATCGAGCGCGATCACAAAAAATGACGAAGATGAACAATGGCTTTCTCGCTTAAGAAATATTGGTATGACCCAGGAGGACGAATTCAAATTATTAGCTCTCAAGGAATACATATGGCGAGTTGCCACAAGACGAGCAAAGGAAGGAGATACCAGCTCATATCCCGGCTTGTCCCACATTATATCCTTAAGTCAGCACGGTGTTACTCTGCAAACGGTTTTTTTTGAAAAACATCAAGGCTTGCCACAACGACGGTCGTCGCCTGACAAATCGAAAGCACCAGCTGGCGAAAGAAAAGTTCATACAATTGCTGATGCACTTCTTGACGCTTCAACAACAATTGATTCCGTTCCTGGATCGCGCCGTAAAAATCTCATACCAAGGGGCAGTGGGCGGATGGAAAGTGGAAATTCTCTTAGGGTGCAACTAAATATCCGAGACCCAGTTTCGCCTGAATCGTTGTCACCGACCCCTCCAGTTGGATCACAGGATTCTTCAAGATCCCCATCAGATGTGGAGCACAGGGATGTCACTCATCGACACCGATCAGAACCTCCATCGGCACGCGATCGTTCATTGAAGCGCATCGATCCTGACAACCTTTCGGTAACCCTCCCAGGCGGTGAAGTCTATCGCCGGCCTTCGGCTATAAACCTTCTCAACCGTAATGAAACCGCAAAAGCGTATGCCGAAACTTCCACCACGTCAACAAACGCATTCGGAAAAGTAGACGCTCCCTTCCAAAGAGAACAACACTTGCCGTCACCGCTTTCGATGGCGCATCACTCGAACCTTCCAGCAAAAGTACCGCAACAAAATCGCACAAACCACACATATCGCGGCAACGACCCGACAATACTAAAGCTTCTAGACGCAGTATTTGCTGAGAATTACCCTATAGACTTATATGATTTTGGACCGACAGTTTCTCCAGTCAGCGCTCATCATCCTATCAAGAAGGCCAGTTTCCAGTCGCCAGACAAGCCTTGGAGGCCCCAAGGAAATCTGGTTGCAGTGTTCGGTGAGCATAGCGGATCCATCAACCGCGTTGTCGTTGCTCCAGATCACACATTTTTCGTCACAGCGTCAGACGATGGCACGCTGAAAATATGGGATACCACAAGACTGGAAAAAAATGTAACTCCACGTTCCCGACAAACCCACCGTCACAACAGTGGTGCGAAAGTAAAATGCGTTACCTTCATTGAAAACACTCATACCTTTGTCTCCGCAGCTACGGATGGGAGTATTCATGCCGTTAGGATCGATTATCGTAATATCAATGATGCTGTTCGCTACGGCAAACCGCAAGTCGTCCGCGAATATAACCTCTCTTACCTTTCAAATATTGTTGGCGAATACGCCGTTTGGATGGAACATTATCGATCTGAGGCCCATTCAATCCTTCTTATTGCCACAACCAAGTGTCGAATTTACGCACTAGATCTAAAAACGATGACCTTGTTGTACACCCTGGAAAATGCAATCCATCATGGAACGCCCACGACATTCTGTTTGGACAGGAAGCATAACTGGCTCCTTCTCGGTACATCGCATGGTATCCTTGACCTCTGGGATCTTCGGTTTCGCTTACGAGTGAAATCATGGGGCCTTCCCGCTGGAACCCCTATTCATAGGTTACTTATACACCCGCTTAAAGGACGAGGGAGGTGGGTATGCGTAGTGGGAGGCAGCAACAACGATTCTGAAATTATGGTATGGGATATTGATAAGGTTCAATGCAGAGAGGTTTACCGGACATCGTCGGCACCCGCCAATAAGGCTAATGCAGCTGACGACGTTCCCAACTCCAGCATACCGAAAAATATCCATCTGGCAGCAGATACTAGCTGGAAGAACTATGAACCTTGGCGTGTTGATGAAGATCGCCCCGAAGGTATGCTCGGGCGATTTGCTGGCAATCCTACGTCGGCTGCTGGCGTTGAGCCAAGTGCTGGGAATGGGGCCATCTTCTCTTCATCTGGCAGCAGCGACTACGGTGGCATTCGGGCCATTGCAGTTGGTCTTGACGTACCTGAGAATAGCCAGGAAGGATCTAAATGCGGATTCTTAATATCTGGTGGATCGGATAGGAAAGTTCGCTTCTGGGATACCACACATCCGGATGCTTCAATGATAATTAGTGGATTGGGAGTAGTGCCTGACGGGATCGCCCAGAAACCACGATACGACACAACACACCCTACCCCTTCATTATCCATCACCACTGAGTGGGTGCCGATGACTGCAACTTCTCCTAATGGCGGTGGCAAAGGGCAGGGCTCTACAAAAAAGCGTGGGGACAGGGCTTCGGGTGCTGGACCCACTGCTTCCAGCCGTCCTCCCCGAAGTACAGTAATCAGCCTACAACAGCAACAACTTTTGAAAAGTCATCTTGACTCCATTCTTGATGTAGCCCTCTTGGAAGTTCCGTATGGGATGGCTATCAGCGTCGATCGCGGGGGAATGGTATACGTATTTCAGTAGATTTTCGGGGATACCTAATATATGTTTTGGATGTTTTTTATTCGAAAGCAAGCGTTCTTATACCCATGATGAATATTCGCCTCAGGAAACCCAGTACACTTTGTAAGATCTATTGTCAAAATCAGACCAATTATGTACATCGCTATGTCAATTCCAACCGTGAATCTACATACGGACTCCGCTAGTGTACTCCACTACCATTCCTTTAGCAACAATTTGCAAATTTTCCATTCATAGGCACAACAAAACAAGTCCCAATTCTTAGGATATAATCTGAAGGCCCACGGTAATGTAGATCCCATGTTTTGTATTCTGGCACGAAGATTTCGAAGCTACGGAGTGCTCAATTTTAATTTTCGCTACCTTCAGGTTGACCAAAGTGCCTTTTTGCATCTTTTGAAAAAGACCCGGATGAGAGAAGAGTGAGCCACGATACAGATCTGTACGGAGGTCGCGGGAACAGGTCCTTGCACGCACTAGAAATATAAATGGAAATCTCAATACAGAACTCAAAAATATATCCAGTGCTCATCGCAGAAGTTATGAGGCCTTGGTGCCTAAACTTGACAGCCAAAAAATGGGGGCTAGCCACCTTATAACACGCTTATAAGTTTCTAGCCTGTGCAAGACTTATTTCCCATCCTCCAATACAAACTTTGACAGCCAGCCCAGCAGTGCACAAACAAATAACAACCAAGCAAGAGAATGTCATTCCTGGGGGCCACTGACGTCCTGTCAAAGTGCCAAAAGGCCTGGGCAAAAGCTCGCAGCACGAACTTGTTTTGCCGCCTAATATTCAACCATTGTGCTCAAGGGCCTGCCACTAGCCTTCCCGGCAGCCGGGGGCTATTGAAATGCTGCGCCGAAAGGGGAAAAGAGAAGGGAAAATGCTTGATCAAGCCCTCTATTTTCTTATGAAGCAAATCACTTGAATGCCGAGGGCAGAGGGGACGAACCAATCTAATTCCCCAACAATTTATGGCCAGGACTAGTCTACCGGCGTGCAAAAATAGCCTTATCCGGCCCGTTGTCTTTTCTTTTCCTTTTTTTTTTTTTTTTGTCGTCTGGATGAGCTCCTCTGCGTGTATATCCCTTTTTTTTTTTTTTTTTTGCGAGTCGATTTTTCTTACTATCCTCTCTTTCAATCATGGATACTATAGATCCTAACTTAACACGGTCAGATCTAATAGTCCTCCAGGAATTGTTTGGCGATGCTTCCATGCTAAGGAGCCAAGCTGTGGCATCTCTGGGAAGTGGACCAAGCGGGACGGATACGCCCGGCATCGATGAATGTGAAACGAGACGGAGGTCCAACAGTAAGAATCTTTAGCTGGAGTGTATCTCATACTGTTCTAATAGGATTTTAAAGAAATTGGACCCGCTGAATCCAGCTGTCTCGAAGCCAGCAATGCCACAGTTGAAACGTTGTCTGCATTCAACAATCCTCAGCACAAAGATTTCGAACCAACTATCTTTGTTGGGTGGGATTTCAAAGATATCAAGCTCCCCCACCTTATTAATGAATATATATTGCGGCCGTATGTCAACGTTGGCCGGAGGATTGTCCGTGTCGAAACAGATGTGGTAATGCTAACGCATCTCCTCCTGTACTTTGCTACATCCGTTCCAAGCGCCATTTTTCTGTTTTACCACTTCAATTGGGTCCATGGAGTTTTTCACTGGATCATGCAATCCTATTACGTGGGAACATATACTCTCATGATGCACCAACACATTCACATGGGAGGAATTCTTGCTCGGAAGTACTCGTGGCTTGATACGTTGTTTCCCTACATCACAAATCCGTTGATGGGCCACACTTGGAACTCGTACTATTATCATCACGTCAAACATCACCATGTCGAAGGCAACGGCCCTAGCGACCTCTCTTCCACCATTCGATATCAGCGGGACGACCTCGGTGATTTCCTACGCTACGTTGGTAGATTCATGTTCTTTATCTGGCTGGAGCTACCATTGTACTTTCTCCGCACGTCAAAGACACGATTAGCTATAAAAGCTGCATTTTGGGAAATTTCAAATTACCTTACTATTTTCCTCCTTCTCAAAGTTAATTGGAAAGCTACACTGTTCGTATTTGCGCTCCCACTCTTGCAATTACGAGTGGGATTGATGGTCGGCAACTGGGGCCAACATGCCTTTGTGGATGAAATGGACCCAGATTCCGACTTTCGCTCAAGTATCACTCTAATAGATGTTGCCGTAAGTACTTTCCATTCTGTTTTCACCCAAGTTTATGCTAAAGTCTATATACGCATAGAGCAACCGTTTCTGTTTCAATGATGGCTATCACACATCTCACCACCTCAACCCTCTGAGGCACTGGCGGGAACACCCCGTTGCATTCCTCAAGCAGAAAAAGCGTTACTCTGAGGAGTTTGCGCTGGTATTCCATAACATTGATTATATCATGTTAACAGTCAAGCTGATGCAGAAGGACTATGTGCACTTGGCAAAATGCCTCGTTCCCATCGGTGATCAAGTCCATATGACGCGGGACGAGATCGCTACAATGCTTAAGACCAAAACACGTCGATTTACTGAAGAGGATATTAAGAAGAAATTCAAAGTGAATAAATAGTGAGTGTGTAACATACATTGGATCCTGAATGTACCCTAATATGTGCTGGTTTGCCCATCTTCTATTTGTATCATTATGTTTCTGTATATGGAGTTCGTTTATATATACCCATCGCTCCTAGGCTTCACCCTTTTGAGAACTATGCATTCTTGCAGCCTGTTCCTAGTAGTATTTTTCGTTCCTTATCTATCTGTACTCACTTGATATCTGGGATAGAATTTGTATATTTTGCTATTTCTTTTTCGTACATCTCGACTCATAGATATCACTTTCATAGCATGTCAATTTAAAATATAACAACTCTGCCGAAATATGCCCAAGAACAATAGGCTGGGACGCTGTTTGTCACTTTTAACAATGACATCATGCACAGCAACCCGGAAGTCATTCTATAAAACCCGAGACTTTTGACTCTTTAGTTCGAAAATAGTGATAATATATCGGGAGATCGAAGGTTGTTTTATGACCCTCGCAGGGCAACGCAACATGAAGCCCATAGGACTAATTCTACACTAGGTCGAGACATCCATGACAACTTCAATTCATGAGCGTGGGTTGGGGGGCTGGTAGAGGCAATGAACCTCATTCAATATATGCATCTACGCACAACTAGGTTTCATTTATTTTGGATTAAACCGTATGCTCTTACAACATAGCAAACCACCTGCAGCTTTCAGGTATCAAAAACCCGCTCGTTCGTTGCTCGAGCGTTCGCTACATACAAACCAGATGAGATGACACCGCCAATGTCTCAACCTCCTGGAAACTCGACACACCACTTTCCCTCCCGTCAGCCTGAGACGAAGCGAGGAAATTGATAAGGGATTGCCCGCCCATGCTGTTTACCCTAGTTGGACGACAACTGTATCATAGACTCCAGAATAATGTTACAGTGCTTCTTTCTCTTCGTATCAACTTGTTTCGGCAATTTGTTGGAGGGCTCAGAGGACACACAGCTGACAGCTACTTCTACTTGGGTATCCCCAACTTTTTACCGATTCTGGATAGCATTTTGACTTCTAGAGACTTCTACTACTAGACTTCTTTTCACTTCTTGCTGCGCTCTTCATTCAAATCTGCTTATACCTCCCATAACAATCGATGTGGAATACGAACATTGCCAGAACACCCTCTGTGCGGTCGCTATCCGCTCGGTCGATGTCGGTAGACTCTCGTGGTTCGGGAGGCTATGATTCTGATCGTAGTAGTGAGACGATTGGAAATGAAGAAACACAGGTTGGGTTATGGCAACGGCAGGACCGTTTGTCACTGAAGCTCGAAAGTGCGAGCATACAAGCAGCGGAATTACAGGAACCGCGGAATCTAATTGTGCAAAGCACGCAATATCACCCAAAGCCTCTCAAACAGACTCTCTCTGAAGATCCGAAGCAATCAGCGGGAGAGCCGGATGAGGTTGAATTTCCCCAGAAAACACCCACTCCACGAGATCATAGATCAGAAGGGGACAGTGATTCCACCGCTCCTGAGGATGAAGAGCTGCCTCCTCGAATTCCTGGGCCCCTAGAAAAACAACTTTCATCCCTAATGTCCAAAATTATCTTTATTGAGCAAGGGAACCCAACCATATCCGTTTCACAGGAAGAATATGAAGCCTTAGGGGAAAGGGTCAAAATCCTGGAGGCAGAGAAAGCCGCAACAGCTAAACGACATGAAGCTATTTTCGCAATTCGAGACGACGACGTCGCGAACCTCAGGAAAGTCCGTGTCTTACTAGCAGAAGAACGCCGCGAGCATGCGGCACTCCGAAAGCTGCGCGACGATGATTTACATAACGTCATTGTGCTGCGTGGTAAACTCTGTGAGGCAATACGTAAGATAGAGAGATTAGAAAGAGCCGGTGGACAAGGACAACTAACACCCCCCCGACGACCCAAGAGCAGCATCTCGTTTGAGCGACGAGATACGTCAGATCTATTCCAAGCTGCGAAGAACGCAGCCCTGGAGCAGCGGACGCTCGAGCTTGAAAAAGCGAACGAAGATCTCATGGGCCAACTCGTCGCTGCAACTCAGAATACCGCATTCCGCGCAACGACGGACAAAGCATGGCGTACTGCAGTTGATGAGCTGGAAAGCAAACTACGGCAAAAGGAGGAAGAACTGGCTGAAGTGCGGCGCTCGTCTGTGGCGTCAACCGGTATGGGTTGGAATAGGATGGAGGTACTCCTTGAGGAGCATGGGATGTTCCGTGAAAAAACGGCGCAGAGATTGCAGCAACTTCGGTCAGAGAATGAGACACTGCATCGGGAGCTGCATAGAATGGAGGATGAGAATGTGAGCCTAGAATTGAGATTGAAGAATTTGCAACGCACTTCAAATGCGAGCATGTTACCGGGATGGTGATATATACTACTAGCTGTTGACGATACTAGGATCAATCACCACGTTCATGTTTGCCCTATTCCACACTATTTCTCATTATTTTGCCGTCTATCCACGACTTGGATGATTAACTAAGCATACAACATCGTTAAAATGTATATAACTGCTTTCCCTTGGGATCACGCCAGATCAGCTCAGAAACAAATTCTCCTAGAATTCCTCCAGAGATATATATAAGAGTTCACTAGGATACATGGACGAAATAGAAAAAATAGATTGTTTTTTATAGCAACCCGTAAATTCTATGGTAAAAAATATCTAAAATCCGGATCCAATAGGATACACATCGTCGGAAATAATGAGGTAAATAGTGAACCCAACGATTAAAACCCAATAATGATGAAAACTTTTGGTTTTCAAAAAATAACTAAAAGCAAGACGAAAGAAAGGAATTTTAAAAAAAACGGAATAAGTTTTTCAAAAACCCCGTAGAATTTTTTCATTCAACACAGTTGGAGCACAACACAACCTCACAATCAGGGCATTGAAAGGATTGCTTGCTTGCGTTGCTGCACGATCCACATTCAATCTTTCTCTTTATCCTAAATAATCTAATATGTGAATGCAAGCAGCTAAAAGGTTGAGATAATTCTTCGCGCATTGTTGGCCCCAATTCACGTCGAGGAATTTCGGCACGCATTTTGATCCAAGCCTGTTGCCTTTGAGCGGTAGCATCCGCGGTAATGCCATCAAGTTTGACCACTTGTACCGGTGTCATCGAAACCTGGATCCCAATATTTACTCCTTTAGCTGCATCTTTACCTTCAATATTCCCATGCCCCCCTCCCAGCTGCGTCTTTTGTCTCCTCTTCTGCTTCTGCCTCTGAGACCTTTTGCGAGGCCTTTTCGGTTTGGGCTCCGTCACGGGCGATGGCACCACTGACCTAGCAAGTCATTATCATTATCCAATTTACTGGTCACCTCGCAATCCAATTTGCCCTTTTCTTCAATTGCTCCCTCCGCTCCCTCCAAATTCGCTTCATACAAGCTAACCCTCGTCGCTTTCCCCCCCAACAGCATCATCCGAACATACGGATCCCGACACTTCTTCGCCAACAACCTAGACGACTTCCCAGCCTTGCTTGCAGCGTCCGGATCAGCACCGTAATCCAACAACAGCCGTATGCGCGTCGCAATCTCCTTGTCCGGTGTGAGGGTAGAAAGAAGCCGCCTCACAGCGCAATACAACGGCGTCCACCCTTTCGAATTGCGCACGTCGACTTCGGCACCTTTCTCTAGGAGCAATTTTACGAGCCCGGTGGGGCCGTTGCTGCTCACGACATGTAACGGGTAGCCGTCGTGGTGGGCGGGGAAGGGTCCATGGGCGTCTGCGCCGTGTCGAATGAGATAGCGAACCATGCTCTCGCGCAGGTAGCAAGTTGCGATTTGAAGAGGAGTGAAGTGGAGGGTTGTTGGGCACGAGTCCCATCGTCGGGAGAGCGATTGGCTTGGGAAGTGGTTTGGGAATGAGGTGGTGGAGGTGTCCCTTGCGTGTATGTTCGCGCCGTGCGAAAGCGCTTTGCGGGCGGTAGAGACGTGGCCCCTGTAGGCTGCCCAGAAGAGAGCTTGTGGATTGCCTGATTGTGCGTCGCGACGGTAGAGGTAATTGTTGAGAAGGGAGTGGAGGTCTCGACAAGTTTGAGAGAGGCTGCTGAGGTCTTGGTTATTTAGGATCTCGTCTGCGACGTTTAGGATTAACTCTGACGGGAGATTGAGGAAGGCCATGGTAATGTGATCGCGCGGATATGGAGTTTATATTTCTCGAGTGTGAGCTCGAAAATGGCGGTAGGTGTGTAATATCTGAGGTAGGAAGATTGGAGGTGTAAGTTAACCGGATATTTGGACGAAACTGTAGGTTTAAGATAAAAGTTGCAAGAGATGAGATGAATTCAACGGGGCGGTGGAGGACAAGTGAGAGGACCTAGGTAGTGAGTGGCATGACGGAGTGACTCGATGGTTGGTTGAAAGTAATTTACCACGGATGTGAAGATATCATACCTATATCACCTCCATTGTCTTGTACCAATAACCAACCGTGATATAAAAATAAGCGGACATGACAAACAACATTACCCCTGATTCTGTTGCTGTGTTTTCCTTTCCAGATGTGTTCCAAAAAGAATACAGAAAAGAAGTCCCACCGTATTCAATTGCTCTGTGTATCTAACTACTCCTGGCATGCAATTTCTTCTTCCGAGGCGTTCATGCCAAAGTAGCCTTCATGGCAGAAAGTGGCGGGCGAAGCGGGGAATATGGCGATATGAGAAGTAGAATAAAAAAAGTCTGGAATAATAAAAATGATGGAATAATAACAAAACAAGGACGAGATCCAGGCCTGAAACTCCAAAATTAGGAAACCAGGAGGAGTATAACGATAAAGGAGTGGGTATCTCAGCACTATGATAGAAGAATAAGCAAAAACAGGTAGAGTGAAAGACAAGTTGAGGGAGAAAAAGGAAAAAGGAATAGTATCCCTGTATAGTCGTATGAGAAGTGATAAAAAGGAAAATCTTAAGAAGTGTTGTGCAAGCTGTCTCTTGTCATATGCTATGCCATGGCTCGCCTTCCCATGGCCCGCCTTCCCATTTGTCTGGGATGAAGTAACGCGCTATTTTCTTTGTAACTTCTACCTTCCTCAAGCCAGTGATCTCACATCCCTAAAATGAAATATCTGTCATAAAAAATCCAGCAAATGAAAAGGAAAAAGTGAGAGAGAATACAAATCTAGAATGCGAGAAAGGAAATGCAATCACAATGAACGTCTATGCAGAAATCTGTTATGCAGGAATTTGTTGCTGTTTGAGCTTCTGTGCGTCAGTGCCTCCAATCGAGTCGCTCTCTGTTTTCATGCTCCCCGCATACCCACCACCCATTATATCCGCCCTCATGTCTCTCAACGCAGCAGAGCGCCTCGCACACACGTCTTCACTCTTAATCACGTTCCTCAGAGCCTCGCTGGCCTGGATGAGTCCATCGATGCTGATTGCGTGGTTTGTCATCTGATGATTGATGTAAGTATACACCTCCGCCGGCGTCGAGCATGTTGTGAGAAGCTGCGGTTCATTGAGTTTGAGGAGGGCCATAGCAACCTGGAAAAAGAAAGCGCCGCCACCACCGCTGTAGTTGGCTAATCGGTCACCATCCGAATTTGCAGCAGATCCGACCAGAGAATTGGTAGGGTTAGAAATCAAGTTGGTCGTCGAAACAGTGCCTCCCTGAGCGCTGTCTGTGCGAGCTTGAACGTGGGACTGGGTCTGGAAGGTCAACGCTGCCGTTGTAGCGGATGCGGCGGGGTTATTGAGACAGAAGACGACATCCCACACCCGGTACAAGGCTTCTGCCGACAGACAGTCGGTGAATGCAGATAAAAACCATTGGAAGGTCAAAGCTTCAAGTTCAATGCCTAGTTCGTCAAGATGTGCAGATAATTTAGGTAGGATCTCCGCTACATATTGTCGGAGAATTTGCTGATCAGCACGCGACGCTAGAAGGCCATGGTCGTAGTAGTGGGCGGGAAGGATATTTTCAATGAGCGATACAAGAATCCAAAAAGCATCCTCGGCAGTGGGCATGATCAAAAGTAGAGATCCGGCGATAAGATTCATACCCTGACAATACCCGACATCGGGGTTGCGGCGAGAATAAGCCAAGAGGACTTCGTAAAGTTTCTCGACCCCAGGACCCTTGCGGAAGAAAACGTTATCAGTCAGGGTTCGGTGAATATCCATTTCTATCTGGGAAACGACAGATGGATCAGTATCTAGATTAGTATTGCCCTTCACAAGGTCATCATAATACCCGGGAACCCGCATTGCGGAGGCGCCACTGCATTCAGACCAGATTTTCGCTCGGTACGCGACAGGAATGCCTCCAATGACGAGGTTTCTAAACTCGCGCCATTTGGCACGTCCGACTTTACCCTTAGTACCAAGACCTGTAATACCTACGATCTCTCCGTCTGCAAGTGACACTTCAGGCATGGCAAGGGATACGCTAGGTCGATCGGAGGATTCGCCTTCTTTTCGGCGTTCCGCACGAACTTTCCTCAAAAATTCATTCCACTTTACTGTACGGTCCCGTTGCAGGGAATCGTGAAGCTCGGTGAGCCGTTCCAATAGTAGCTTAACGGGCTCCTGTTCCGAGACTGGTACTAGCATAGCGGACGTCTCATTCCCTGCCCCCGAAAACTCTGCATTGCTGGACACGACCTGCGACATAAGTGCGGCGGCGTGCGGCGTGGCATTGACGACAGATATTGATCCTCCTTTTTGGACAGCAACAGAAGACGAGCGTGGTTTCTGTTCAGCAGCATTGGACACAGAAACAATAGTACCTGCTTCCGGAGTGTGTGAGAGAAGTTCAGTTGGCTTTGTAGAAATTTTTAAATAATCTTGCCATCGTCGGGTGGGAATGTTTGAATTTTCAGCATCCTCAACTGTCGTTGAATCTAAGGAGGACTCTGTGCCGCCGGCGCGAAGACCTATGTTCAGATCCAGATCGCTCCGTGAGCTACTAATTATTTCCGTGGTGCTTATCCCCGACGAATCATTGGTTGGGGAGATTCTGATCCCTTCTGCCGCTTCTTCCTCTTTTGGTCATAAATGAAACCAAACCGGTCAGTGAGAAACTCCCCTGGCTGGTAATTTTTATATATGTGCGTGAGTGTTGGTGGGCGTGATTCCATAGGTAATATAGGATCCATCTCCACGGGGCCCAGTGCAGTCGGATTCCCATCCGACGTTTTGGACTCAGGTGTAGCAATTTCTCTGGGACCGGAAAAGCCATCCCGGCGCACAACGGATAGGTTGGTCCTAGAACCTCGAACACTAGATGCCTTTGTGGACCCCGTTTGTCCAGCGGCCGAGCTATTTAAGCGTTTTAGGGCTGCAACTGCAGAGCCGCTAGGTTTTGATGACTCGGAGGCTGAGGACTGCCTAGCCTTGGAACTTGGAGCAGTTGAAGAGGGGCGACTTCTGACACTTGCAGATTCAGCACCTTCTTTTCCAGGGTGAGGATTTCCAGCAAACAATTTTACGGTCCATGACGCGAACGATTTTGAAGAACAACGAGAATTAACACTCGCGGTATCTCCATTATTCGGGTTTGTCGAGCCTTTGCCATTAGGGCCGAATGCGGGTGAAATTTCCTCCAGGGATTGAAAAAGTTGCTCATCTAAACGTTTCCGACGATTCCCAGGTTGGATCTGCATATGTGTGAAATCGTCCAAACCATCCTGCTCGTCCAAGTCACTCATCATACTACTAGTTTTACTGGTCTTCCGACTAACAGTAGCACCTCCCCAGACATACCCCTGCCAGGCACGAAGTAAAGCAGTAGACGACTTTTTCTGAGATATGGACCCCGCACTAGAGCTTCTAGGTTGAGGACCGCTATCTTTTCGATTGGGGCGGATTGTGTCGCAGAAATCGCCATACCCCTTGGTGTCATCTTCGGGCGGTGAGTCTAGCACCTGAGCTCCTACATCATCACTCATAGCTTGGCTCATCATATCGTCAATGGTGGGAGATACCCTTCTCACCCCACTTAATGGGCTGAGGGTTTCTGTATTATCAACAGTCGCCTTAGCATTGGGATTCTCGAGAACGTAGAGCCTGTGTTCTATTGTCTGGTTGGATATTTGCGCTTCACGGAGCATTTTCTTTAGTTCCTTCTCTCGCTCGTCTGCGCGCAGACGGATTGATGAGATTTCAGCATCACGAAGCGCAAGATCCCTGGCAAACTGCCGGACCAATTTCACAGCTCCAGTCCTTGCAATGATGCGCTCAATATGGTCGTCATTAGCCAGATGGAGTGAACCCGGAACATCCCGAGGTGTAACCGAGTCACTAAACAGAGCATTACGGCCAGATATATGTGGCAATGACGTCGTTAAACCCTCAAGTGTTGCTTTACGACCTCGATCGCCGTTTGGACGAGAATGATCTTCTGCCAATAACGCTTGACTCAACGCATGATTCAGAGCAGGCTCGCCCCGGAAGCCTTCTGGGGAGGCATCAGGAGAAAGAGAAGGAAACGACGTCAGGTCCGTTGGCGTATTGGTAGAGGAGGTAGAAAGGCGCTTGAGGGGCTTTGCTCGCGCCGGCTTGTTTCTGTGACTTTTTCTGGAAGATGAAGATGTCTGTGAAGAGGAGCGCCGTTGAACATGCTGAGCATCAGAAGGGGGATCAAGAACCTCAGCCATGACTAAACTGCTGTCAAGGCAACTCGCAGCTGAGGTCCGGTGTCCGCCTTCATCAACATATGCTCCGTCGTGTTAAGAGGGACTGTGGGAAAATATGGTTACGGTCCGACTCGAGGTGGACAAGTGCGACTGATGGTCTGGAGTCTCCAATTATATATTCGAGCTACGTTGACCATTTCTCATCCCGTATCCTCGATTCAATACAAAAGCGGGCTCGTCGTTTCCGCGCAAACAAA